CTGGTTGAAAACTGTTAATAATGTTAATTAATATATATTATGTTGCCCCTCACTGCACACGATGCCAGCTGCTTATTTCTAACAGCTGTACAATGAATTTTAAATCCACACATTCAAGCATCTTGAGGTGCATGTAGGTCTGACCCAGAATGAAGGAAACATGGAAATCACTTTAGCTCTTGGCAAAATTTAAAAACAATGGTACTGATTACATAATAACAATCTCTGCTATAAATACTAAAAGATGCAATACAAGCAGGATCAAGCATAGAAATAGATTTTCAGCACAACAACTTTTCATTTCAGCTACTGTAGCTGCTTCCTTCGGTGAGGTTTCTAACACATGACTCAACATTTTTGCACACATGCCACCTCTGTGACACCATAAAACCTCTGACCATCAACATACGCCCATTACTCTCACTTCTTAATGCCCCCCTCAGCTCTTCTTCCAGTAACTGAAAAAATAATACCACAGGAACAACTGGAAATCTAACTATGGGATACCTCATGTAGAATTCATGAAAAAACTGTGATACTTCAAAGGGAAACAAAAAGACTGAAAATGTGACCTTAGTAGAAGAAGTAAGCTTTAAAAATACCTCAAAAACTGTGTAACCTGAGGGCTGAGTGGATGCTACAGAGCTGAGTCCAGGGTCCTGAGCTGATGGATCTTTGCTGCGTGTCATTTCTAAACCGAGGCACCAACGTTCTTGCTCCTTTTGAATAAAATGAAGAAAACCTGTAGGTGTTGGGTGCAGTTACTATATGGATGAGTCTGCCGATTTATCAACACATCTGTCCTACTCAATATCACTTTTGCACAGTATCATGCAGATGTGGCAACATGTACTGTGAGGATCATATAAACATAAACTACATACATACAACTGCGCAGACTGATTTTGCAAACTTGATAATCAGCTACAACGATGGTTAGAGTGAACGATACTGATCGTCTTGTTAAAATGTGCTACTGCTGGGAAACCACCTACTCTGACACTTACCGCCCACTTAAACGTGGCTAGAGACCGAGCACACCCCCTCATGGCCGCAGAGCTCCTCGATGGCAGCGGTCTCCCCCCAGCAGGACAATGAGCCCGACCACACGACCTCCACATTTCTCTAACCTGATTGAGCAGCTGTTGGATGTAGAACAAGCTTCAAACCGCTGAGAACCCACCACACGACCCAAAAGGATCCACTGCCAACATCCCAGAGCACCACAGAGGTCCTTAGTCCACCAGGCTGCACTACACAGCACCAGGCAGGCCACACTGATCAGTTTAAAGAGTTTTTATTTAGTTCATGTCTGCATTAGCAGAACAGTTCCATCCTGCACGGTTGTTGCAAAGAACTGAATTTGTCTTCCTTGGTAAAAACCCACCCATTCTGAGATGTCTACTCTCGATTCCAAGTCTCACACCTCGATTTGCACCGTTTCATTTCAGTGAACCACTTACACCTCTGCTCCCACCTGTGCACTGTAGGTGGTGGCACACAGTCACCACACAAACGGGTTAAGTGAAGCTCAACTTCAGGAAACTTGTCTTGTTGGCACCACCACAAAAACGGGATCACGTGGTCCACAATCAGGAAATACGGCTCTAATTTATAATAATCAGGCTTTTCACACAGGTGAAGATAGACTGATAGATCTTCTCATGACAGGTAGAGTAGTTCTTGTGTTGTCTGACCTCTCATACTCTTTGGCAGTGGCTCAAGAGAATCTGCGTGAAACCCCCGCTAAATGACAGGCTGACTACAAAACACGAGCTCTAAAGTTCACTCTTCTCGGTTAAGCAGCAGTCCGCAAATGGACTCCAGTTTCCTTTAACTTTAAGTCGTGGGCGTCCCTTTTCTTCACAACCGTGGGTATCTCACACTGTTCTTGTGAAAGGCAGGGCTGCGTAAGACGAGATAAAATTTGAAACTTTATCAAACCCTCCGTGGAAATCGGCTCGCAGATAAACAAAAAAAAAAAGCTCAGCTCAGCTCAGGCAAGTCGTTTCGGTACGTGCTTCTGAGGCCTCGTGGGATATCCCCCCTCCTCCGTAGCTAGGTGATGTCCTCCCCCGGTCAGAAAAGTGCTGTGAAACCCCGCCGCCGTGATGCTGCTGAGGCAATGGAACTCGCAGTGTCAACGGGTGACTTGAGAAGTTTCCCTGATAGTAATAATAAGATCGAACAAACAGGAAAGAGCGACGCAGTGCGCAAAAGTGAAAGATGCTGAGTCAAAGGCTGGGGGCGCAGCGAATGTTTTTAGTTGGGTGATGAGGTAATGGGTTGATACTGCTTTCTCATACAGCGACTTCGTACTCGCTGTGGGATCATTAATAATACGGAGGTGGAATCTGTCGTATCACTTCTTTTGTGCCAAATGTCAGTTTGTGCAGATTAGATTCAGAAGAAATTACTTTGAGTTGAAAATTTGTCAAAAACTTGTTGCGTGTGTGAGAGCATAATTATTAAATGGCAGATTTAGATAAAGCAGTTTAGCACAACTTCAGCACAATAGTTTAGCTTTTTCAGTATTTGTTTGATCACATTTATCTGAACCACAGGTGTTTTTGTTGTTTTGTTTATTGGTGGACTGTTGATTCATTTTCAACCTTTTATTCAAATTTGAATTCTTCTCTTTTGTCGAGTAAGAAACCGACGAGCCTCTGAGTGGGCGTTCTCTGATGACAGCGTTGTCTGCAACTGACTGGAGAATCTGCTGTGATGTCTCGCTAGCAGAAGCTGATAACAAGCTTTTTTTTTTCTTTTTCTTGCTCAACCAGCATAAGCTGTTAACCAGGAGGGATTTAAGCCATCTATCTCTTAGAGGACCCATTCAGTGCTCCTTTTAGACGGGAGGTATTTGTTAGCCTACCTGGCTGGACTTAGCTCTGATTCCCACTAAACAATACTTTTAATGGGCCATTTGAACACCTGCTTCTTCTTTTGTCATTTCAATCTTCCAGCATTATTGAAACGCTGAAAGGTTAGCAATCATGACAGTGACACAATCACTACAAACATGAATAAATGAAGGAATAAAGGAACAATATGTTATTGGTTAACACAAGTGCAAGGTTCCATAAATTATATAATTAAACCAATTGATTAATCTGTAAAAGTTTGGTGAAAATCAAGTTGTTTTTTTTTTCCTTGTTGCTATGCTCATACATATATTTTTTAATATGCTGGAAGCTACATCATGAGTGAAATCAACAGTCAACACCACGTCTGAGCATTTCCACGCTGGAGCTGCAGAGTACTGATGCACTTTAATCATAAAGGAGGATATATATGAGAGTCTTGAGCCTCAACACTCAGCTCATTTTATCCTCCTGGGACTATCTGAACACAACACTAACTATCATGAATGATCAGGGATTGAGTCTTCGTTTAAATCAACTCTGACACAGCAAACTTGTCAGTGTGCTCTAATTTTAAAAAAATCTCATTTATTTTTGTCATTTATTTTGAATTTCGCTGGAATAAATGGTATAAATCTAACCTTTTGACCCTTCTTATTCATTTTTTTTGGACATCCAGGGTAATGTTTATCATCTAACAGCTGAAGTCTAAGTTGGCACATCAGCTAAATATCCACGTTTTGCTGAAACTGTCGAGTTCGAGACCTAAAATGAGCCATGTCGTGTCCCTGTCTCCTGCATGGCAGGATAAAAGACAGACCACAGTTACTGCAGCCCAAAGGGCACTGAGAGCCGTGTTCCCATTTCCTGCTTCAGTCTTAAAGTTTGGTGTTGCACGGAAACAGACATAAAGATTCACGACTTTCCACCAGAGAGTCCGGTTTACTGCAGGCCCAGTGATAAAATCTGGAATATGTGAGCTGATTTGTTCAAAACATTTTTTTTTTTATTGAAACACTGAGCTTGAGATGATTTGTCAGCTGTTTGTATCGTTTCTCTCTTTCTTTTTAGTTTGTGGTGCAGTTGCATTTAATCATTTGTGGCTCTTATTAGATGAGTTTCATCTCCTGAAGTATGACTGTGATGGAAGTAAAACTAACACACACACACACAGGTGTTCCCACTCAATCTAGATGGTTAAACCTCGTCTCAGGTTGAAGGTGGGCGGAGTCATGGTGGGAAATTTATCATGTGCCACCATCCTGAACATACAAATGAGAGTGATGAAGGTGTAAATTGGCCTTCAGCTTCACAGGTGCAGCAGAAACTGAAGGGAGATGCCCGTTTCTCACAGCCTGCACACCAACGAGCCTCGTCAGGCAAATTAAGTCGAAACTTGCCTTCGTAAAGGGCCGTTATTGAAAATCCTAAATCCGTTTTTACAGTTTTGCACGACAATCAAAGTCTCAGAAACTTAGCAATGAATTGAATTTCAAACTGAGCCTTCATTCGTCCCACCTGTGCTTCCTCTGCTGTTAAAAAGCTCTGCTTCAGTTCACATCTGCACTTTGCAAGACATCCCCAAGTTTAATTAAATTCCACTTCAGTTTTATTTATATTGTGCCAGTTCACAACACACAGAGCACTTCACACAGTAAAACCATGAACTTAAAATGTTATATTAGATTATATAATATTATTCCATTATATAAATATATATATTACCATAATTATATGATGTCATATTATATTAGAGAAACCCAACAAATCCAATGATTCCCTTTGAGCAAGTGCTTTGGTGATAATGTGATCCAAAACTTTTGACCAAGTCTTCTAAAAGATCTCATGTAAGTCGGACTTCATGTATTTATTGCTGATTTATTGTTTATTGTGCTTGGAGGTTATATACTTGACCAATAAAGGCAACGTTATCTGGAAGTATTCGTTAATTAGGCTTGTGCTTGATGTCGTGAGATCCTGTGTTAAAGGAGCAATTCTAGTAAATGTTTAGAGAGTTGAGAATAAATTATTGATGGTTAAATGTGAAATGTAAAAACCTGGTGCGAGAGGTTTCATTTTCATTTACCTAAAACGACTATTAAACCAAAATGAAGAACAACACAGAGAGCCACAGGGTTTAGATTAGAGCAGTGAACATTTATATCATAATTTACACTTTTTTGACATTTTTGCACATAAATAACTATGTAAACCAGAATGTAAACAGAGACAGTTCATTAGGGGATTCTCCTCTGGAGTTAAAGCTCTGAACAGGTAAAGAGACGCTTTGGTCGAACATTAGTTAGAAGAGAAAGGTGATGAAACAGAGGAGAGAGAGCGACAGCTACGGAGTTCAGGTTGTTGACGTGCAACTGCTACAGAAAATCACAGTTGCTGTAGTAACATTAAGTTGGATCTTAATGCTGTTATGACCAGTTTCAGAGATATTGTACACAGTGTAAATAGTACAAGCATCGGCGCTGAAGGTATAAAGTAGGAGGAGGAGGAGGAGGAGGAGGAGGGAGGGGGCCAGTGCATAAAAGAAGGCCGAGGTGCTTTGGTGTATGCCAGTTCATTGACAAGATGGCGGACGGGTGGGCTTGAAAAAGGGGGGGCCATTGTTTCTCAACCAAAATATTAACAAATAACAATAATAACAACAAAACAAAACAAAAAAAACATATACAAAACGAGAGACCACTGCTAAAGAGCGAACACTTCATCGTATACACAAAGTACATCTTCCCTTCTTCAGCATTTTGATTCCTCAAGTCCTTCTTCCCTTGTTTTGATTTTTCTTTTTCATGTTTTTTCTTTTTGGTGTGCATTTAAAATTAAAGCCACATGAACTTTGGTTTCTAGCGTCAAGTGTGAATCCCTAAATCCGGGGATGTTCACATCCCTGCTGACAGTATTGTAAAAAAATAAAACAAGAGGAGGGATGAGGGAGGGAGGCGGCTTACCGGCCTCCCCGAGTCCATTATGTGCTACATGTAGAGCGGGCTGCGCCGCTCTTTTTGGACCACATGAAGAGCTGCACTCCAGTTCAGTTTGGTTTCTTCTTCTTCAAGTAGCAAAATAAAAGCAAATAAATAGAAAACTCCCACCTTCAGCTGTCCCTTTAAACGCACACACACAGACACACACACACTCGTTTTATAACATCCACACTGAGGTAACCGTTGTGAAAAATATACAAAAAAAATGCCCTTTTTTCATTTCATTTAAATTAAGTAGGCATCAGAAAAGGACACAGACATGCTTTAGGGAAGCTATCGAGCAAGGTTGCGATAAAGCTCTTTCTTTCTAAATCAACAAATTTATGTGCCGTACTTTGGCAAGTTTCTCAACCCTTTCAACCTGCTATAACGGTTTCTAAAATTTAAATAGGTAAAACCCTGAAAAGTAGACACCCCTGGTTCTATAAATCAGAGGTCACAGGACAGATATAGGCATAGAGAGAGTGACTATCTACAGAGAAATGGCCACAGAGAGAGAGACAAAATAACATCGACAGAAAAATAGACTTACATTGATTTCACCCCATCAGTGTAACCATCCCTTCCACTTATTGCTTTTGAAGACGACAAATAAAAAGTATAATAAATTAGGTTATACAACAACTAATTGATCCAAAAAAAAAAACAAAGACATTTGAAAGCAAAGACAAAATAATACAACAACAATAATGATAATAGCATTATATTAATTACATTAAAGGTAAATCCTGGGTAGATGATTGTCTCTAAGTATAATAAACCACTAAGTAGTCATGGGACAGTGTCTCTTGTAGCCCTGAGTACGTGAGTCCCTGATAGGTTCAAACCTGGCGTGGTCATGATGTCACTCCTGATAACAACCAAGTACATATTTACATCTGTTGCTCCGGGCAACCCAGTCCGCCGTGCAGTCCTGACCCACTGTCTTTTGGGTGTAAACGGTCATTTAAGCGTGATCCTCGGACTCCTGCTTAACGGTAATGTTGGCAGGAAGCGGTGGGATGGGGCTGCTGTGCCGCATCTTGATAACCGACGTCTCGTTCGGGGACTCGTAAGCGCCGTAACCTGCAGACAGGAGCTCGGTGGCGCTGCCCTTGTGGTGGGAATGGAAGTGAGAGGACTTGAGGTCAGTCTCCCTCCACAGCATCCCCAACACCTGCTTCTCCAACATGGCCTCCATCTCCACTCCTCCCTGCAGCTGCTCCAGCCGCTCTGCATGCTCGCTGACGTCGAAGCGCTCGATCTCCTCGTTGGCGCGGTGCACCTCCTCCATGGCAGCCTGGCTGGACACGGCGGGGCTGCCAGCGCCGGGGCTCGCTGCCAGGCAGTAACCCTTCAGGTGGAGCCGCAGGCTGCACAGGTGGATGTAGTGGCGATGGCAGTGGGGGCATTTGTGTGGACGCTCACGGGAGTGCAGGCGCTTGTGCAGCTTGAGGTGGACAAACTGGGTGAACTTTGCTGGACAGAGTTTGCAGTGGTAGGGCTTCTCCCCTGAGTGGAGGCGCAGGTGAGTTTTCAGGTTGCTGGTGCTGCTGAAGCGCTTGTGACAAACCTGGAAGAGGATAAAAGAAATGAGGTCAGCAGCCTGTAGCGACCCATCCTCACATTTGGTTAATATGTCGAGAGAATCATCACAATGAAAGCGCATCATCTTTGACATTGGTTCTCACCTGACACTCATGTGGCTTCTCTCCTGTGTGAACCAGGTAGTGTTTCTGCAGGTGAGCCAGTTGGGTAAAGCCTTTGTTACAGGTTTGACATTTAAAGGGTCTCTCTCCACTGTGGACACGAAGATGAACCTGCATGATCAGAAGAGAAAAGAAAATATCTGCTTAGCATATTCAGATATTGAACTTGTTTATCTTGATATCAGAACATCTGGTGACACTACTTGCTGCTGTAAATCTACAGTGCAGTTCTCAAAGTCCACAGGAATGACAATAAGGCAGTAAATCAGACAAGTAAACACGATAATCAAAGTCATACAGGAAACAACCTGGCAGCGTCTCAAGCCTCACCTTCAGGTTCGACAGCTGTCCGAAGGTCTTGCTGCACACATTACACTCGTATTTGATTTTGCCGTTCTGCTTCTTCAGAGGGTACGGCAGCGCCTTGTAGCCTGCTGAGCCTGCACCACGCTTCACCTTGGTCAGGTTGATTGCCTCTTCATCAGGATGATGTTCGCTGGTGTTGCCCAGCAGGGCTGAGGTAGGCTTCGTGGGCACCTGCTCGCTGGGGGGTGCTGTGCCTGCAGTTGGGGAGCCGCTGGAGGGGGCGTGGGCTGGTCCATGTGGGTGAGGATGCCCGTGATAAGGGTTGTGAGGCCCTGCTTTGTCTCTCAGAGAAGTAGCGGCTGAGAAGGCACTGGTGGGCCCGGGAAGGAGGAAGTCTCTGTGGGTCGAGATGGAGGAGGGGTGCACAGGGTCAGGCATCAAGAAGCGCCTCCCTGCTGTGTCGGAGGGCAGGAGGGGCACATGAGGGGGCAGAAGGCTTCTGTAGAGCGGGTACATGCTGGGAAAAATCCCTCCTACAGTGGGGACGCCACCACCAGGCAGAGGATAGTGATGGGGAAGGAGGTAACGTGAGTAGGGGGCCCCGGGAGGGTAGAAGGGTGAAGAGAGGGGGGCGGATGGTGGAGAGTAACCAGGGTAGGAACCCAGTCCGGTGGAGTAGAAAGAAGCAGGGGACGGCGCCGGCCCAGAGGGGCTTCCCTGAGGGCTGCAGTCTGGGCTGCTCCTTGCAGACGGGCTAGGAGTGGCTGAAGACTGGTTGCCAGGGGAACGAGTGGAGGGGTAACCAAGCTGGCTGGGTTTGTGGCTCAGGAAGTCTTCAGAGATGTGGTGGTGAGGCCTCAGAGCTGGGTAGAGGGCACGGGGGTACAGGGGACGCTCGGGGCTGTCGGCACAGCGCGGGCGGGTGGGAAGCGGCCGGCTGGGCTCCCTCTTGGTGGACGAGGAGGACGAGGTGCTGTTGGTGCCCTGCAGAATGGAAAGGACGCTGTGTTCCCTCTTGGGCTGGGTGGGAGTCACCGCGACGGGGGACGGGCTGGATGCTTCGACCGAGCGCTCCTCGCTGCTCACCTGCTGCTGCTTCACCTCCAAAAGTGACTGCTCTGAAGAGACACAGACAAAGAAGAGAGGTTAGGGGGTTTGTCAAATCAAAAGGTGCCTCTTGGTTCCATTAAAGGACCTTTACTGAGTACACTTAAGATAGCCATCACATTTTCTGTTTAACAGCATTAAAGCTAAACCAAGCGTTACTGTAAACCTCTGTTCTTTTTAGCGGGGATTTGTGTGCGTTTGTGTGTCACAGGGTTAAGGAACACCATAAGTAACTCAGTGGACCAATTAGGGTGACAGATTTGACGAACGAGCGAGAGGGGCGAGGGTGGGGGCGAAAGACAGGAAGTGAGGCGTGACAGCTGCCTTCGGGCATTGTGTGTATGTGTGTGGTGTGTGTGCAGTGTGTGTATAAAATCAAGATAAAAATCAAAATGGTGGCAGGCAGACAGACAGGGCTGATGGAAGGTTTCCTGCTAAAGATATCCTCAGAATAAGCTTGGCCTTCACCTGCCCTCCACCAACGCACACAAACACGCCCACAGCACGTGACAAGGTACACACTCAGAGGCGCCTGCAGACAAAGGCCTCTGTCTGATTTGTTGACTCTTCCACTTTTGGACAACACACACACTCCCGATCAAGCTCCTACTCTGCCGATCTGCCCGGCCATTTGCTATTGTTTCCGGGTCGAAGGTTAAATTAGAGAGCTTCCTCCTCAGTCACTCACACCTACTGTCTTCTCTGCATGATGAAAGGGCGGATTAGGTGGAGAGCTCACTCACACACACTCTAAAAGCCCCGGGATGTCAGTTAGCAGCACATCTCGGCTGTTAAATGGCCACAGACGGGCCCTTAAAACGCTGCCGTCTATTATCCATAAGCTCATTTACTGCCCAGTCAACTTTTTTTACCATGAGGTCGCCCAGAGGGGAGTGTGTGTGTGTGTGTGTGTGTGAGAGAGAGATGGCGGTTGTCAAAGTTAATCCTGAGCGCCAGCACTGGTGAAATTTGCAGGAATCCCCCTCTGATTCACCCCCTCACTCACACACACACACACACTCAGTGACCCTGCCATCAGTAGTATAGTGGCAGTGTGTAAACACTGAGGTTATCAGCTAGCCTTCCTCCTCCTCCTCTTCTTCCTCCTCCCTCCATCCCTCTTCCAGAAAACAAACAGGGCGGCCATCTTGGAGATATCAATCTGTCAACACGGCCCTTCTGCCAGGAAGTTCAAGTAGTCAACAGAGGGGGTAGGAGGTGCAACTCTGCCTCCCCCACTGCCTCCTTCCACCTTCTGGTCTTTTCAAGTGGCAAATATATCAGGGTGATTGGCCGACACACACACACACACACACACACACACACACACAGGCGCACACACACATGACTACTTTGTGTGAGCTCGCATGTGTTTGAGATGAAAAGGGGGGGTGTAAATGTGTTGGCATGTCACGCTTATGAGTGTGTGTGTGTGCATGTGTGTGGGAAGAGAGAGTGTTTTTGTCGGCAGGAGTGTCTTTGAACGCAACACACACACACACACACATGGATGACAGGTGTTCTCGAGCGCTAACGCTTGAAGAATGCTAAATGACGGTGACAAAAAAAGAGTGCGAGAAGAAGGAGAGGAGAAAGTGAGGGAGTGAGGCGGCGGTGCGCGCTCAGTCATTTTGCTCGCACACACACACACCTATACACACACACACACACACACATAGAGACACACTTGTCTGCTTTTGCTATGACTGTGCTGGAAAGAGCTAAAAAACCAGAGAGAAAAACACGATACAGGCAAGAGTTGTTGACGCGCTCCTCAGGAATAAAACGGACTACGGGATGTCACCTGGTGTGTGGACCAGTATCTCTGGCACCCCCTTTAGGACTCCAGCGTCATTTTACACACACAATAGTACGAGGCATGAGGTTTTATCAGAATCTAATGAGCGATATCTGAGATTTTGACTGAATAAAGAACAAGAAACAAACTGTATTTTCTCTGAAAGTGAAGCAGTTTTGAGACCAAAATAAAATTCTGAGTAGGTCCACAAGTTATTGATAATTGTGTTGCAAAGAGAGCCTCGTTGTCGAGCTAAAAAAAAGAGAAAAAAACTTCTTGAGACATTTACAGTACAGCTAACTGGCTAATCTACTTGGACATGGAGCAGTTTCACACCTTTTATATTGTATTAATAAGCTTTGTGTGAATGTTGTTGCTACTTGTAGGAATAATGACCTAAATGTGTCCATCCTTACTTTAAAAAAAAAAAAGCTTAAATCAGCATTTATTCATATGAACACGAGACATCACCAAGCAAACTTAAATTTCACCCAGTCACTCATATTCATCACATCCTCTCCAGCTACCCTTTGCCCTTTTAACTGAGTTTTGGTTGAACGTTACTTAGAAGCATCGTGGTTTTCTTGCTTTTACTCAGCCGATGACATTATTTCTGACTTGGTCCTAAACTCCGCACCAACAGTCAGAGCTTGTACTCATTTTAGGAAACTCACCAGACCGAGAGAAAAAAAAAAATATCGTCTAGAATATCGAAGCTCAAAGACAAGGATTTCTGCTGCAAAAAGAAATCAAGTCACAGGCAGGTCAAGAGAAGCCTGTGGGGCTTAAATGACAGAGGAAGCTAATTAAAGACAACACATATAGCCCAGTATATAGACAGTGTGTTGAGCTGGGGAAGGAGGAGGGGGGAGGAGGCAGGAGAAGGTGATCGGGGGGTACCTCCTGCCTCTATCACCCCGGGTCATGCGCATTTTTCCCTGGGCAGTGGAGTCACTCTGGCTGGGTGTGTTGGTTCCTCTGCCACCTTAACACTGCTATTAGCCTGCAGTCACACCTGGAAACCCCTCAGCTCCCACTCTCTCTCTTTGTTTTCCTCTTAGCCCGCTCTCTCTTTGATCAGCTCAGCTAAAGTGGATAAGTGCAGTTAGTCTGGTGTGTCATGAATGTGTATGCCGGGGGAATTTTTGTGTGTCGTGCTTGAGATTTGGGCAGAAGGGGGACCAATACAGGTCGGTATAAATCCTTGTCAGAGTACAGAGAGATGTTGTTTCTGTCATAAATAAAAAAAAAACTGAAGACACGCAGTCAAGCAAACACACACACTGTCTCCGCTCCTTTTATTGAGGTCGAGCCAGCTTGTGTGTGTGTGTGTGTGTGTGTGTGAGCTTTTATGTTAAAAGCGGGTCTTTAAGTGTGTAAGACTGTGGCATTAGGGGCCATATCCCCCCTGTCTGTGTAATTACACTGTCACTGGAGCGCACACACACACAAAAATACAACGATGGCACTGACAGAGATGAAAGGTTCTCCGTCTTGTACTCTTGTACGTGAGTGTGTGTGTGTGTGTGTGTGTGTGTGAGATAATGACAGGCTAACGTTCAGAGAGGAAGGAGACACGGCTACACTCAAAAACACTGTTAGGCTTTAGGAGCGGCGACAGGACACGCTCAAGACACACACACACCTACACCACCTATTGATTTCATGTTTTTTTTTTCCTGTAACCTGATCAATGCATCGGGTATTTATTTTAAAAAACCCACATCTCTCACCTGAAATGTCTCCTGCAGTAAGTGTTGATAGTCAAGAATGCCACTCCTGATAAATAGATGTTTTTCTAACTACTTTATGTACAGAAAAAGAAGATTTTTATCTCCTTTTTGCTCCCCGTCAGCCTTATTTCTCACTGATAGACGGAAGAAAACTACATGAACTTACTGAGTTTCTGCATCATCAGCTCTCCAGACGGCGGGTAGTGCAGGCGTCGGGCGAAGTCGTGGCAGTACCACACGAGCAGCTCAGCGCCAGCCGGGACGGGTTTCACCGTGTAGAAATAAATCTCCATGCCGTTCTGACACGCCGCCAGGTTCTGCTCCGCCGCCGAGTGGGCCGGGTTCACGTACCGCATCCAGTTAGAGCGAGTCTCATCCAGGCCGTCGACAAAGTGGTGAAACTCCCCGTCCACGTAGATCTGGAACAAGAGAAGATGATTTTAGTCAAATAATCATGTGCTTTGCCTAAATGTAAAATTTTAAACAAAAAGCAAAAACCAGACAGATTTAGAAACAAAGCATCAAGCGAGACACTCCCTCTGCATGTAAATCCATTCATTTAGTGGCTCGTCCTGTGGAGCATTACTGAATTAATGAGTCAGTACATTTTAGGAAACCGACTCAGTGATTACATCAGTGGCTGAACCAGCAAGTAACTGACAACGTAAATGTCTGAAGGAGTCAGAAATCTTGTGCAAATCAGTAAAACTAAAGAATTAAGATGCAAAGCAAATAAAGAACTCACCCATTAAAAGTACACCATACACTAATTAACTAAATAGCTAACTTATCAAATAAAAGCAATTAAATTAACTCGCAGCTGGCAGTGAATGTATCCAGCCTGGTGTATTATATATATATATATATGCAGATAGTTCTCTCCATCCCTTACCACGTCCCTCTTTTCACCTTCATGTCCTTCAGCCGAGCAAGCAGACGGAGAAAGAGTGTCGACGCAGAGGAGATCCTCTTTTATATTGAAAAGGGAAAGGAACTACCAGCTAATTCTCTACCTCAACTCCCCCTCTCTCTTTCTCTTTCACTCTTTATCTTGATCGCTGTCTTTTTTTTTTCTTTCTTGGCTCATATATGCGTGTGTGTGTGTGTGTGTGTGAGAAAGTGAGATATGAGCATGAATGGAACGCCTTTCTGATTTAGTGTCTGCTTGTGGTTAGCTGCATCGTGAGTCTCTTCTTTTCATGCAAGTCTAACACACACACACACACACACTCACACACACGCACACACACACGTGTGCAGTGTGTAGGCGGTGGTCAGGTAGGTGGTTTGTGAGTGGTGTGTCGTCTCACTTGTCAGTTACTGGTAGTGATGGAGTGTGTTCTGTCAAAAGCAGCGTGTGTGTGTGAGTGTGTGTGTGTGTGTGTGCGAGACTGTGTGGACTTACAGGAACCACAGTGTGACATGTTATTTGTGTGAAGGTGACATCACATCCCCATCTCTGTTTCTTGTACACACACTCTCAGAAAAAACAGCAAGCCCAATTTCCTGTTCCACTGACTGACTTTAGACGGGCGTGACGTCAGAGGAAGGGGTCCCTCCGGCTTCTGAGGAAGTGTGTGTGTTTTGTCGTGCATGTGTGCGTGTTTTGAATGTGTGTACTCACCCTCCAGAAGTACTTCCGGTTAGCGTCTTTGGGGACGCTGTCTGCCGTGTAGATCTCGCCCACCAGGGGACCGAAGCGGGTTCCTTTGGGGATGTACTCCCTGCTGCACACGCCGACCACCTGCACGAACACACACACGCGGCTTTGAAATAAAACGACAAAGCAGATTGACAACAATGAAGCCTCACGCGCTACACTTTAGCATCCTGAACGGGGTAACGCTGCACATCCTCGGGGCCGCGTACGTGTTTTCGTGCACATCCGTCAGCGATATGTATCATTAAGACTCATTAAGTCTTTTTTCAAAGACTCACAGACACACAGCATCAACCAGCTGTCAGCAGCGAGGATGATTAATGAACCACCTCCACACATCACTTCATTTGAGTGTGTGTGTGTGTCCTTGTGTGCGGAAAAACTCTCCTCTGAAAATCTCTCGTCACACCTCCACCCGTCGCCACATCAAACCCAAAACGGCTGCCACCTCAGACTCTTCAGAGGGAGACATCCACATGCTCAAAAAAAAAAACATCTTTTGTATTCTTCTTGAGAAGACGAGGAAGAGGAAGAGGAAGAGGAGAAAAGCGAGGGGGATTATGTGGTGACTAGACGTCAGGCTCCAGCCACGGATGGTAAGAGAAACACACTCGCATTTTTCTTCATGCTGAACCCACGCAAACACCAGTCTTTCCCAAACCCCTCTGTTCCCTGGTGACGTTGGAAATCCCCCTTTCCCCCCGTTTTTTTCTTTTTTTTTTCCTCCTTGGGACCAGACATGAGGGTGTGTAAGTGTGTACGCGAGTAATCAGAGTTTTTACAATCCCTAAACGAAGCCGTCTTTGATCACGACAAACTGCGATCCTCAGCCTTTCCCTTCTTCCTCTCTCGGCCTCAAATATTATCTGATAGCGTATCAGCTTGTAAACAAAACGCACTCCTCTCTTTCTCTCTTTCTCGCTCTCTGTGGGTCTTTCCTTAGTTTCCCGTTGATAAACCCCTGATGAGAAAATCTATGTAATCAAGCCATTTAACTGAGAAACTCTCAAAGTGTCAAAGTTGACAAAGTCGCAGCCTTTTGACCTGCAGTCATGCACTTTTTTTTTCTGGTCCGAAATTCCTTAAAAATCACAGCATTGATGCGAGACTTCACGTACGTGACCCTGCATGAAACGTAACCCAGATAGAGGTTTTTATCGTGGTTTCAGCCGCGTATCTGACTTGTGTTTGGATCATTCTTCAACACTAATCAGCCTCGAGGTGTTCCGACTTAAACGCAAACACCAAATGAAACTTATCTCCAAATGCAAATTAGTGACTAACTTGTCAACCACTCAGAAGCGAAGCGCTCACTGTTTTTCACTTCATCACATTCCCAGAGTGTCATTTCGATTCTCTGCGTTATCTCCTTGTTATACAACCTCAACCTTTGACTGGTTGATATTTTGACTTTTTCATCTCCACTTTGATCAATGGCAGAAACGTTATCCTTCCAGGTTTTGTCAAAGGGTCAAACAGAGGGTGATTGGTGAGCTGAGGATGATTTACAGAGGGAGCGTGTCCCTGTCTAGTAAAAATGACCAAAATCTACGGCTCCGGGGGGTTGACCCTCATGAAGAAGTCAAAGCTGAGCCTATGAGTGGCCAAAATTCACATCAAACCTCTTTAATTTTGCCATTTAGGAGCTTAAAAATAATCACACAATTTGATGTGCTTGTTGAGACGCCGCACTGCGCCCCCTGCCTGCCGGGACGGGCACTTCAGGCGGTTAAACGAGGACTTGAATGGAATATGACACACAGCGCTTGGGATCGAGCCATCGCCGTTTCCCCTCAGAAGATAAATGGGTTTTCATGGATGGATAGAAGTTAGTTAAACTGCACCGTGCATGTGTTTAAATTCTGCTTCTGGCGTTTCCCACACCCACACGGATTCCTCCATATGTGTGTGTGAAGTTTTACAACGAGACATGAGCCCCTCTTCATTACATGACCCACCTCTGACTCACGTTTGTGTGCACTTACAGATGGCTTTCTCCGGCTGAGTGTGTATGAAAAATTGAGGAGAAAGTTAGTCTGTCTGCCAAGTGTGTGTGTGTGTGTGTGTGTGTGTAGATGTGAGTCTGACCTCCTTGCTGCCAGCCAGGTGTTTGAAGGCCAGGTTTCGCGGCAGAGACGCCTCGGCTCTGGTCGTCGTCGTCGTCGTCGTCATCGCGGCGTCACCGTCTGGTCCCGCCTCCCACGCCGTGTCTTTCACGATGTACGTACACTTCTCCTCGAACTCCGTCTCCGTCCATTGCGTCATGTCTGCCTCCTCCATATCCATCTCCATGTCCACGTCGGTGTCTGTCATCGTCTCGGCTCCGTCCGAGCCCGTGCTGGTGGCGGTGGAGGCCATCTTGGCTCCGTGGTGCGTGTCGTCCTGCTCCATGGTGTGCGCCCCCTCACTGGTCAACATGGCCGAGCTATGAGAGGTCGCCTGGTCGGGGACGGGGGTAAAAGAGAGAGGAAGAGGGAGAAACATGAGTTGTTTTATCTCTAAATCTTTCAGAAAGTGCAGCGATGTCGCTGCTGAAATTCAGAAGAAAGGATTTAATGAAAAGAAGGTAACTTTAAAAGAAAAAGGAAGTGAAGGAAAGAGGTGGGAAACAGGAGGGAGGAATAGAAAAAGAGAAAAGAAGTAAGAATGAAAGAACGCAAGAAAGAAGAAGTCAAATGAAGACAAATAAGATGATAAGATGTGGGGGGGAGGGAAGGAAAAAAAATCACAGATAGAGAAGTGGAAAGAGGGAGGAGTAAGATAGGAAAGAAAAGAGGAAAGACATAAAAGAACATAAAAAACGGAGCAACGAAGAGACGAGGAAAGACAAAAGCGGGAGAGGAAGAGCTGCGATTATTATGTGTGGTGACTCAGTAATGAAGGGGGTCTGACTAACACTACTGTCTCACACACACACACACACACACACACACACACACACACACAAACAGACAGGAAGCTGTTTGTCAACTATTTAGACTAAATGTTAACTAATTTGAGAAACAATTAGGAGATAAAAAAAGCCCACATTCACTCATTCCCTTCCTCATTCATTCACATCCGTAGAAATCCAGTAGAAAGCGTGATGACGATGATAACAACGTGGGACGTCAAACAAACACGCTGCGATCCTTCTTTCCCGTTAATGTTATTCATTGATTCGGACAAAATCACATTAAACACCTCAGACGACCCTTCTCCCGCTCACAGGGGCAGCAATCTGTTTGTAAGCTTAAACATTAATGGAACTGATTGACTTCTTTAAATCAGTTTTAAAAAAAAAACCACACACACACACAAGGTGAAATTTAAAATAGGAGCCAAACACAATAAAGAAAACTGACAGAGGAGCTCAACACGTGTCTCGCAAGTAGATTTAAAATAAAACAATTGTGCAAATCCCTGATTAAATGAAGGATTTGGTGATTTTATTTGATAAAATCGGAACTGATTCTAACAATCAGTTGTTTGAATGCAAGAATATTTACTTCATCTGCTGCATATTTTCAATAAAACGCACTTTTGAGCAGTTGAAATGTTTAAAAAAAGGGAGAGAAAGTGTGTTTGAGCAGTTTCTTTTTGTTTGTTTTGGATAAATCTGTTTTCCTCGCTGAAGCAAACAGAGTTTCCATATTTCCTATTTAGAGTTTTCCTCCTGTATTTTGTATTTCAGTAATTTTCACACAGTGCAACTCAGACAAGAATTTACATTTAGGAGAAATTTCCCACCCAAAAAAAAAAAAGTGATATTTCCCGTGTTTCTTCCCCCTCCCTCCCTCCTTCCACCTCCTCCTCCCCATTTCTCTCCGGGGTTGAAGACAGAGGAAGGAAACGCTGTCTGTGTCTGAATGAAGCTAAAATTGGAAGCAGAGTGGCACTGCAGCGGAACCGGCAAATCATCCCAACTCCCAGCGTGTGTGTGTGTGTGTGTGTGTGTGTGTGTGTGTGTGTTGGTAATGGACGGGGGGTGGCGGTGGTGGTGGTGGTGGTGGGAGTGATGAGGAAGGGAGCGTCAAAACTTTTCCATTTGGGGGGCCACAGCAGCGCAAACAAAACTTCAAACGCGATCCCACCCAAGACAATCCCACACACACACACACACACACACACACACACACACACACACAGAGGCAGATATCCACACAGGGACAAACATGCCGGCTTGTCCCACGCAGACGAGCAGAAAGCAGAAAGCAACGGATCTTCAGTGACCACACTCGGCTCTGCGAATTCTTCCAAAGCCGCAAGAAAGAAAATTATTTCACATCCAACTGGCTCCAGTCAGTCACAGCTAACGACTTCTTTCTCTAAACTAAAGACGATGAAATGACACGCAGAGATAATCCCCGACCACCTCTGCTAGCTGCAAGGAGTGATTTCAAAGATTTTTTTCCTGATTTATTAAAAATCTCTTTCAGGAGTCAAACAATGTTGAAAACATCCTCAGCAGTAATTATGATGCTTGTTGAGCTTTTGCATGACTTTCCTGTTCCTGACTTGCACAAAAAAAATAAAAAAAAAAGGTACCCAAACCTAAATCAAGAACAAAAATCAGATCTACACAGCTTCAGAAAGTCCAAATCTTGACTTTAACAGTGGAACTCATCACGTTGCAACAAAACAAATCCTCAGAAATGACAATCAAATCCCACAAAATCCACTATTTGACTTGTAAAACTGAAATTTCCAGCAAGCTCTCCCAGACAGCGGCTGCACCTTCTCGCACGGGGGGGAACAACAGTTTCTGCTCCATTTGCCTTTTAAATCAAACGCGTGAAAAAGTGATCGGACGTGGGAACATTTTTTCTCAATATTTCAGCTCAACTCAAACTCAGAATCCTCTTTGCATAACAGCTGCAACATCGAAAACTAATAGTGAAACCAAGAACCAAGAAACAATCAACCTCTTGTGCAATTAGACCAACTGAAAATACAAAAGAGTCTGCACACAGGCAGGCAGGCAGCGTCCACACGAATCAAGGAGTGATTTAAACAAATCGGGCAGATGTTGGAACAACAAATCGCACTTTAATCCAGGTGGAGAAGTCGTCACATTCTCAGTGATGTGGGGGACACTTCACTGAGAGTTGTTTCTGTTAAACAAACTGAATAGTAATGTGGTAAAGT